TGTCAAAATTCACAGCAGGAGTGCCCACTCAGAGTGCCATTTCCCTCTGAGAAGTAGGTTACTACATTTACCTAGGGAAATTTCTATTGAATTATAATTAGGTGGCTAATTAAAAAGTGGATTATCAACTATATTAAAATATGCCAGAAAGATGTGTACATCATTCATTCTTTAATTTAGGAAATCTACCTTTTCCTTAAAAAAATTCTCACTGAGGCCCTCCCTGGTGGAATAGTGGGTTAACACAGCACTAAGAAGCTAAAGCCACTTCAGCATGAGTTCGATCCCCACCAGCCCCAGAGGTGACCACATGGCGTGGCAGACCTCTCCTGACCTGCCTGCTGCTCCCCTCACAGTGTACTTTGTCGATCTGCCTGTTCTGCTCCCCGCTCTGTCTCTGGTGAATCCTCTCACGCCCCTGCACCTCTGGCTGGTTCCCCAGTTTCTGTATGCATAAATAAATAAATCTTTAAAAAAAAAATTCTCACTGGGAAATTCCATTTACAATATGTACGTTTTTTCTTCATAAATCAATTTTATTGAAGTGAGCGTAAGTTTTTTGTTTTTTAGGTAATGGATGTAATTTGAACTATCTTTGCTGATAAAAAGTACCTGTATTGTTCTCTACAGTGGTGGTCAAAATAAAAAAAACACAGCATTCCCAGAAAAAATAAGTATGAAAATAATAACTGCTATTATTTATTAAGCCCTAATATATGCCATGCTGTGTATCTCATTTAGTCTTCTCAATACCTCTATGAGGTAATTTTATGACTATTAAATAGGTAAGGAAATCAAGTTCAGAGAAGTTAGTCAAATCATTCAAGGTCACACAGCCTGAAGGTTATAAAGCTGAAATCCAGATTCTGGTCTATCTGACTCTGAAAATCTTGCATTAAGCAAGTTCCTTTACTTAAAATGTTTTAACATTAAGCAAAAACTGTTTTGTTCCATTCAACTGGTTTTGAAATTGATAATATTTAGTTAACATATAGTTAATTAGGAATTTATATTAACTAGAAAATCATATTTCTTAGTTATTTGCCCAAATATGGGTTTTTGTATAAGTAGAGAATCACTGCAAGACTCCTGAGCCATAAATAATGGCAGAAGTTAAAAACTACTAATAACCGGCCCTCCCTGGTGGCGCAGTGGGTTAAAGCACTGCACTAAGAAGCTGAAACCACTTCTGCATGAGTTCGATTCCCGCCTGCCCCGGAGGAGACCACATGGTGTGGCAGACCTCTCCTGACCCGCCCGCTGCTCCCCTCGGCAGTGTACTTCATCGATCTGCCTGTTCTGCTCCCCACTCTGTCTGGTGAAGTCTTTCACCACCCCTGAGTCTCTGGCCTGTACCCCAGTTCTGTATGTGCAAATAAATAAATCTTTAAAAAAAAAAAACAACTAATAACCTTATATGTTAATATACTTTTTATTCTTCTTTTCCTATGTTCTTCTGATTTCTGAGGTGGTACAAATTAAATGATAAGCCATGAACTTTGATACAATCCTATCAAACATTAAGTGGGTCAAAACCAACTAGATGACCTAGCAGCTAGGCATGACTAACTATATTAAGATGAACTAATGAATTACTTATAGTTACTCAATATGTGTGTGATTGTAAGTTCCTTCTCAACTAAACAATGAAAAATACTAATATATTTTGAAGACTACTGTGTATCAGTCACTGTGCTCATTACATAAATTACTTCAATTTACTGTAGAATTTCTCAACCATGTTCCTATTGATGCTTTGGGCTAGATGACTCTTTGTTGTGGGGATTGTCCTCTGCATCTTAGGCAGATTTGCAACATCCTTAAGCATACAAACTCCTCTAGTTGTCACAGACTAAACTGTCTTCAGACATTACTAAATGTCTCCTGGTGGGCAAAATAATCCCCTCCTTTCCATATATCTTTTTTATTACCTCAAGAATTTCGTGTGTGTGTGTGTGAGTATTATTAGATTAAAACTATTGCTGATGAGGAAACTTAGGCTTTACAAAGTTACCCAAGTTACCTAAGGTCTTCCAGTTGATAAATTACAGAGCTGGAGTGATATAGATCACCTGACTCTTGAATGCTGTTACTCTATGGTTGATACACAAGTGAAGTAAAGATTGACCCTCTTCCACACCTTCTTCATTCCTGTTCTCATCATGGGAGTGGGGCAGTGAAGAGGAAGTGGGGGTAAATATGACATAATGCACAGAACTTTTGTTGTCCCATGCCCTCTTACTGACAGATGAATTCCATTTTAATTGGAATTCTGGAAACTAATGAAAAAAATTATTACTGTTAGGTTGTCTGTTCTCAAGATTTTTGAATTCCTCTGATTTAATTTTAACCAATTAGCATGCCATTATGGCACGCTGAGAATCCATATTACACTAAACACTAATATTTTATTCAGTATTAAACATTTATACAAATGGTAATACAAGTACTTTATTCCTATTTTCTTTAAATGAGAATAACTGCTTCCTTAGGGCAATTCCAGCTACAAAGAAAATTATATTTTCTTATGACACTATAGGTATCATACTTTACATAGATCACTGCTTAAACAAATCAGTAAGATTTAATTGAATGAAATTTGTTTTTATAAAGTATATGAATTTTTCATAAAATTCAAAATGGTGTTCCTTTTCATACCTATAGTATAATAGCATAATGCCTTGTTAGATGATAATGAAAACACACTATTGTCCAGTACTGCTAAAAGGTACAAAGTAGCTATCATATTTATTTTAATTTCAGGATATTTCTACCATTTTTTAAAGTTCTAAGCTAGAATTTCAACCTAAGTATCCAAATGATGCATTTTCTGTCTCTGCAAAGAGAAATTAATGAACCTAAGTAAATTAGAAACTAGATAAATATCTAATAACCACCTCAAGATAGTTCAGTCAATCATGATTTCAAATCTGCTTTCCAAATTATGCCCTTGTCTGCCTTTTCCCAGTCTGGCCTTGCTAATCTCTCTCTACTAAACCCTGGGCCTACTGTGTGGAAGCCATGGTTTTTCCTCTTACCTAGGCTGTCTCTTTGCTTCTTCTACTTTCCTAACTTCAGTAGCTTTTTCAAGCTCCAAGCTCGGGTAGCTTGGAAAGATTTCCATGATTTGAATATAATAATGCATTTATAAACTTTGTCATTAATGTCCTTTAATTCCCAACTTCTCAAATATTTGAAAACCATAAGACAATTATTATTAAATTCAGTTCCTTAGTATTAGAATTAGAAAAAATTTATTTCATATTTTAGTGATCTAATTAGACTGGCAACATCAGTCAGTCAACATGCATATACCTTGAAAAAGCTCTTTGGGAAAAGAATGCTTGTAATTCTAAAGGGATATTAGAAGTTTAAAACTGCCATGCAAAATCAAAGCAAAAAAAATCACTTTATAAATTAAATAAACTGAAAAATTAGAAATTGGAGGCATGTGTAGCATAGAAAATCACCATTAGGAATGGTAAGATTTAAACTAAAAAAAAATTTAATGGGCTGACTTTCGAAAGTAGTGACTGGATTTCATTAGTAAGTATTTTATGCATATGGCTATTCTTAAAGTTCCTTTAAAAATGAAAGAGTAATGCCTTAATGACAGACATTATTACACAAGCATATTTGAATCTGGTTTATGAAAAATAGGACTTCAGAATTTAAAATGTGTGCTTAAAATGCAAATGGATTTAATTAACTGAAAACCCATAAGACAGAACTTCTTCAAATAAGCAATTACTTTGGGGACTAATAGTGTAAATAGGATCCTGATTCATTAGCACAAATACCCATATGAGAGAAGGATCAGCAAATTTTATTCTTTAAGTTATTTATGCATATATGGTGATGAATCTCATTATTTTAGAACATCAATAAGTTTAAAATCTTTTGATAATTTGTTCATGAGCTAGACTGACGTTTACCTTTGTTGTGGAAGCACTTTATTTATAGGTAGATAATATATGGTGGTTTAAACATTTATTTCCAATCTTATGTACACTTTTTAGACACAGAATAAACAATTTTCAGTGAACCTCAGGCACTTTACAAGCTCCTATGTACATCCAATCTATATGCTAATAACAAAATGTTGGTATGATTTATTATTTCAGATCTCCTTAAGGGTTTCTACTTTGTAATTTTTTATTGACGTTACTATATGTAGTTTAAAGTAATCAAAGTCACATTTGTTTAAAAGTTATCCATAATTCAGCCTTCCCGCCTCTTTAATTCATTAGAATAAATGAGAATTTACAATATTCACGATACATATTACAGAGATTTTCCTTGAAATATGCAGTAGAACATAAAAAGAAAAATGAAGTACACAAAAAGTGAAAATTACAAATGATTTTATGGATAGACAGTGGAGCGTAAACTGTCAGAATCACTGTCTCAAATCTTCAAGGCATAATGCCTGGGTGGAATAACTCAATAATGTGGCACTTTCTTCATAATATGATTTTGCTCACTTGGGATGACTCAGTTATAACCCCTTGCAAAGTGATAGTAAGATTTTCCAATTAAGGACAGTCAGAGCATAGGCCAAAAGTGCGAGACACTGCAAGCTAGGGACATGGGGTGAAGAGAAATGACACTTTACAGTAAGCATTTCTAAATCTGCCTTGTATTTGGCCATGAATTTACAAAGTCCACATGTCAGTTTTCTCCACAAGATGCTACTCATTAAAGAATTTTGAAGTGTGTATAAAGTGGGTAGAAGAATTACGTTATTTTATGATCAGAACTCACATAAGTTAAAATAACTCTAACTCTAAAACATAGTAAACTAGAATTAAAAAAAATCACAATTGACCGAAAAACATAGAGTATTCTTTTTTTAAAATGAAACATTCCCAAAACAAATCATATATTATTTGTAAGTCACACCATCTTTACACAAGCAGGATTCCCATTTCTTTTGTATATATTATGAAAAAATTAGGAGGGGAAAGCCAATTTTGTTCAGCAAATTAGCAGTTACTTACCATACGAAGGGAGAAAATAAGCTTCAATTCCATTTTTATCACTTAATCAAGAATATTTGATAGATGAGGCCTCTTTCATGTGCTTCTTGATTGTTACAAAATCTAGGAAGGAAATACAAGCATGGAATGTTTTATCATCAAGGAGAAAATTGCTCAAACAATACTAGTTTATTATACCAGTGATTATTTCTCATCAGAATGAGAGCTAACCCAGCCAGCCAACATATCCCATTTACAAAAAATCAATGACCTGCCTATGAAAGTTTGAGCAAGAAAGGGAAATAACTACAGCATTAGGGAAAGAAGGCCTTGGGCAGAACCCCACTCAGGATTTGTGGATATAAACTTAACTTCACTGGGGTTCGTATGCCTTATTTCTCGATGGGGAACTGTAGTGCCCCTATTCAAGGAATTGTTCTTCTGAGATTCAAATAAGATGATGAATGGAAGGACATTTAATTCGCAGTAAAAGTATTTTATTTATACCCTGACTATTTTAAAGATTTGAGTGGCTTCCAGAAAATGAGACACATATAGAAAAGATAAAAAAGATGGTTTAGAATAAAAAAGGAGAAAGCGTGTATACTGCTTATATGGATCAGCACAGTTCAAATGACTGAAGTTGTAATTTGGTTGTGAGTTTCTTAGAAGCACGGAGCTATGGTGATGACACATGGGTGAAATGGTGGTGGGAAGTCCACGAGAATTACAATTGAGTTGAAAAAATGTACAAAATGAAGAATGATGTACTATATATATATTATATATATACATATGTATATATATTATATGTAATATATATTTATAAATATATATATTATATATGCACACACATCTATAAAATAAATTTATGTAAAAGGAAACCAGTTTCTTTTGTGACTCCCCTTATTAAGAAGACACAAATACATCACCTAGGAAAATCACAGAAAAATCTTTAGGTAAAGCACAACATAGGAAAATTACGATAAAACAGAATAACAAGAGTAGATCTGATTAGTTACTATGAAAATTGGAAGCCAAACTACTTTTTCTTGGAGGTAGCTGCTATTACTATAACAAGTGTATTATTCTTATGAAATAAACCTGTAACTTGAATTAGCAAAATCCTAAGTAAAACTCACTACTTCTCAATATAACATCCAGCTGTGCTCCCTTGCTATGTCTTCCTAAAAAGCACTCAAGGAGCCTTCTCACTGAAGTCATTTCCTTAGGAATTTCCAGAGGAAGTCACTGCTCGCTGGTGACTGCAGGCCAGTCACTGTTCATCAGTACATGACAAAGGTGAAGCATGGACCCAGGCTCTCTCTTCTGCTTTATAGACAAACTACTGCAAATAATTACCAGTTCTTGTCTTTCTTTTTTCACCTTCTTTTGCTCTTATACCACTTCAGTCTGACTTCTATCTTAACATGTTGCTCACTGTGCTGAGATAGTGACTTCCACTCTGCTCCCTTTTGGTGCACTCAAAGTTCTGTGGAGTAGCAGGTGCAGGAGGGAAACTGAGGCTGCAGCTCACCTCTTAGAAGTTTCTGAGACCATGCTCTGCAACAGTGTAGCCCATAGCTTCCTTCTTCCACATAGTGATGCCAGCAGCTGGGTGAGGTCAGTCAGCAGAGTTGGGAGAACATTTGGTTTCTTTATCCTGGTCACAAAAATACCACTTGGGTGAAGCAACATGCAGCACTGTGCTCATTAAATTCACTTGTGCCAGTTGCACTATTTTTCCTCCAGTTCAAATTCCAGAACTACAGACTGTTGTGTGGTCAAAAAACATCCTGTTCCACTATCTTTCCAGTGACCTCCAACATTTCCAAAATGACAGACCTGCTCCCTAATACCTTGACATATATGCAAAACATGAATATGTCAGATGTTCTCGAGCCTGTTTACAGAAGAACCAGTTGCATCTCTATTTCCCATATATGTTATTTAAATAATTTATTTTATTTTTAAAGATTTGTTTATTTATGTATACAGAACTGGGGTACAGGCCAGAGGTGCAGGGGCGGTGAGAAGCTTCACCAGAGAGAGTGGAGAGCCGAACAGGCTGACTGACGAAGTACACTGCAGAGGGGAGCAGCGGGCTGGTAAGGAGAGGTCTGCCACACCAAGTGGAGCAACTTTGGGGCTGGGGATGGAACTCATGCTGAAGTGGCTTTAGTTTCCTAGTGCTGTGCTTTAACCCGCTACGTCACCAAGGAAAGCCTCTCTTTGTTTTAATTCAAACAGTTCTCTTCTGATCAGTGTTTTCCACTTTTACTAAATGAATATTTGTCAGTCCTGCACATTCAAGCCAGCAGACCACTGCCACCTTCCCAAGATGGAATCTTTTTTCCCTTGTCTCAGCAATAACCCAGCAATCTTCCTGGTCTTGCTTCTGTTTCTCTTCCTCCTTCTCCTTTTGTTACTGGCAGGCTCAGCCACTATGAGTTTGAGCTCCTCAATGCTTTGGCCTTAGCATTCTCTTTTACACACACTCATATCCATCTTTGGGTCATATCAATTGTATCAGAACAATGAATGTGAAGATATCCAAACCTCAGAGCTCTCTGACAAGGTTTACTCCCATAACTCACTATCTGCTTGCTCTGTCTTGTGCTTTCAAGACATCTCAAAACTCAAAATATCAACACTGAGTTTAGCATCTGTTGTCACAAGTGTGTCATCCAGTGTTCCCTGACACTTCCTCATGACTCCATGTAAATATCACAGAAGATGGTCTATCAATTTACGCCTCCATATATTTCTTTAATTCATCCCCTTCTAAAAATCACCAACATCTCACCCTTCTTCCCCTCAGCTTTGCTATCTCCGCTGAAAAAGTTCAACTGAAATGTTCAGTTTCCACCCCTTGCCAACCCATACTCCATATTGGAGCAAGAAATATTTTTTTTTTATATAAAATAGATGACATAAGTAACCAAAACTTCTGCACCTTTTCACCTCACCCAGCCAACCTTCTCATTGGCCCTAGGATAAAGGCATACATACCTTTGATATCACTTAAGTCTTCCATGGTGATGACCCCTGACTACATGCCAGACTCAGGCAGCTCATATTGAAGCTTATTGCTCCTCCTAGAGGGCTTTCCTAGCTACCATCCCTTCTGCCTATCTGTAGCCCTGGTTTAATTCACTTTGATACATCATCTTGATCTCTTTTTCTGGAACCTTGTGTCTCTCCTCTGTAGCACGTGCCGCAGTGCCAGTCTTATAACTTCTTGTGCTATTCTTTTAACTGTCCCCCAGCAACCTGTAAGCTAAATGCCATAATCTTGCCAATTTTTTGCCATAGTGTATATTGGCCAAAAGCCACTCTAAGGAGAGGAAGGGAAGAGTAGGAGCATAACATGCTGGCAGACAAAGAAGAGCAAACATTTAAACAAGGTTTAGGGCTCTAGATTACGGACATTCTGCTGGGTATGTCTTTTTATATCCTTGCTTCTAAAATCCATGTCATTACATGCAATATAATTGTCTTTGCCTCCATATGGTGACAGAATTCTAGAAACTGTATCAGAATCTCAATAAATAGGCAAAACAAAATGTTGCACAAGTTCTTTCCCCTCAGTTACATTCCAAATACAGCCCCCCCCAATAATAAAAGACAAATTTTGTACATTAGAATAGTATCAGTTATGAATGTACTTTTGCAATTATGAGTGAAACATTCCACACTGAAATAAGAAATGCCATCTGATTTCGATTTAACACAAAAGGGGAGAAACACATTCCATTTAAGAATGACAAATAAAGCTGTCAGTGTGATCCATTTATAGCCCCTTGGAGAATGCCACAAATCCACATAATGCTCTGAGTAGCTAGTTATTGTATTTGCTTTTTCAAAGAAAGAAGGCATAGAAGTCCCCAATGAACTGCTATCCAATGAAACTAAGGTTAGTTAGAATAACTTGTGTTAGTCAATGATCTAGATGCATAGCCCTTAAAGGGGTGTTTGAGAACTTTTTGCATGTTATTTAAATAGTATGCAATACAGAAATGTGTGGAATGCAGTGGAGACTGCTGGGGAGTGTAGGAAAATGGATAAAGCCTTTCTTCCCTGTCTGTTCAACCACCCCTCCTCTGAGATCGAGGAGGGTGTTGCTGATCTGGCAAGGCTTCTTTCTTTCCATAGGACTAACAAAAATTACAGAAAGTCATAAAATGCTAATTATAAACACCCAAGGTGCTGGTTATTTTTGAACATCTTATTATGGGTTATTTTAGTATCAGGTACATGGACACTTGCCAAAAACAAACATTAGAAATATAATAGCTATTTTTATTACTATACTCAAACTTCTTTCGTGAGTACATTAAACAGCTTGCTATTAAAACACATATTCATATTTAAAATATACACATAGATACACACATGTATGTATGTACATATAATACACACATGCATGCATGTATAGATGTATTTTTTTTTTAAGATTTATTTATTTGTGCACACAGAACTGGGGTACAGGCCAGAGGCTCAGGGACGGCGAGAGGCTTCACCAGAGACAGAGTGGGGAGCAGAACAGGCAGATCTACGAAATACACTGCTGAGGGGAGCAGCGGGAGAGGAGAGAAGAGGTCTGCTGCGCCATGTGGTCACCTCTGGGGCAGGCGGGAATCGAACCCATGCTGCAGCGTCTTTAGCCTCCCAGCGCTGTGCTCTAACCCGCTGCGCCACCAGGGGAGGGCCTAGATGTATATTTTAAATAGGAATATGTCAATATATATGCATACATCTATGTCAGCATATATGTATATATGTATGTATATATAAGCTGATATTTGGCAAGGCAGAACTGGTTTTATTTTTTTCTTTCACATTGGCTGCTAAAAAACAGAAAAATTTGTTTTTCTTTTCTAGCAAGAATTGAATTTCACAGCATATATTTTGAGTTTGAATCTCTTTCTTAGCCCTAGCTTACATTCTTAACTTAATTTTTTTCCTTTGACTCATTTTTTCTTTTGCCTACTTGAAATATATTTTATATTGCTGTATAGTATGCATTTTTATTGTTCTTTTTTCTATAAGCCTTAAATCTTTTCCAGCACATAAATAAAGTAGACAACATTTATAAATTGTCCTTTTTTTTCTTTTGGAGGGTCACAAGATATTTTAAGAGATTATATGACTTATTACTAACATTAAGATACTGCTATTCATACTAGCTAAGCTTTGAGGTATTTCCTTGTTAGATATTTAGAATTATCTAAATATTTAGATATTTAGTATTTTCAGTTAAGTTTTCTGAATATTTATACCTACACTTTTGTAGCTGGGATTCCTCGTTTAAGGTCCACTAACTCAAACTACAAGCAAAGTTTTTTGTGTGTAAAATTTTCTAGAAGAAATTTCATGATTTTAATCTAATTCTGGAAGGTTAATTTGACCAAGAAGATTAAAAATTATTACCTTGTAGAAGAATAACCCTCAAAGATCATTCAACTAATTGACAAATTATGTATTCACTCCTTACTAGTGCCAGACACTGGGATAAATACTGGGAAAACTGCAGGTGCTATGGAGACTTAATCTTTGACCGTAGGGTACTTCTAGTGCAGTGGAAATGGAGGGAGACAATTAAAAAAAAAAAAAAAAGGAAAGAACACTAAAAACAAATGTGGAGTACTTGGGTGATAATGTATTATAACAAAGAAAACTAAATAATACAATAGAAAGTAAATAAGATTGGGTGATTAGGGAAGACCACTCTAGGAATTGTCAGCTGAGCCAAGCAAGATCTGAGGTAAGAACTTTCCAGAAAGAAAAACCCACTAATGCAGAGAGAGAAGAGTTTATTATTATCCATAGCCACTTTAGAAAATGTCAATGTTAGCTCCCCAAATTCACTTTTAAAACTCACTTGAAGTGCTTCAGCCCAAAATTATCAAACAATAATTTTCTGCATGAAGTTTTCCTTGTTTTCATTTCCTTTTTTGAAAAAAAAAAAAAAAAAGATTTCCTAATATGAGGGACAAGGGTGTATTTTATTGTGCATTAAATTTCTTCAATAAATATTTGCATCTGCCACTTCTTTAAGTCACTATGGGAGATATCATCAAAGTGCTCAGTATGGACCAAATAAAATATAACAGCCATACATGTAACTATAATGTACCTTAAACCAATCCTGTATTTTTACATAACACAAGTTTATGAGCAAAGTAAATTTTAAGACCCAGATGCTTAATGTACAGTTGAAACCCAAAGAGATTTAGAAAAACACCAATCACCCTGTAAAAAATTAAAAGATGAATGAGTAGGAGAAAGGAACATATAATGAAAATTGGCATTAAAAATTATTTAAAATGAGGACACCATACTCTATGGCTTGGAAATGCTCAAACAGCCCTGGAAGTGTAAATCAACAAATTAAGATGTGACAAAGTCATAAATAATCTCCCACAGTATTAGATGTTTTCCTGGGTTAAATTATTTATGAGTAAATTAAAGAATTACTATCCAGATAAGAAAATAATACCAATGTTGCATAATTCTGTGACTCTTACTGTATATGTGGAGCCACATGGGAACTTATGCCATGTCCTTGGTGTTAACAAATCTAGCTAGCCCAGCAGGTTTGTAACCTAAGCAGTTTGACTCCAGAGCCACCATGATATCCTCCAGTTTGCTTTGTGAATT